AAGGGGCATTCTACCCCACTGACCACCAATGTAAGGGACATTCTTTCTACTGACCACCAATGTAAGGGGCATTCTTTCTACTGAACACCAATGTAGGGGGCATTCTTTGCTGCCATTGTAAGGGGAATTCTTCCCACTGACTACCAATGTAAAGGGCATTCTTCTCACTGACCACCAATGTAAGGGGCATTCTTCCCACTGATCACCAATGTAAGGGCATTCTTCCCACTGACCACCAATGTAAGGGGCATTCTTCCCACTGACCACCAATGTAAGGGGCATTCTACTCACTGGCCACCAATGTAAGGGGCATTCTTCCCACTGACCACCAATGTAAGGGGCATTCTTCCCACTGACCACCAATGTAAGGGGCATTCTTCCCACTGACCACCAATGTAAGGGGCATTCTACTCACTGGCCACCAATGTAAGGGGCATTCTTCCCACTGACCACCAATGTAAGGGTCATTCTTCCCACTGACCACCAGTGTAAGGTCCATTCTTCTCACTGACCGCCAACGTAAGGTGCATTCTTCTCACTGACCGTCAATGTAAGGGGCGGTCTTCCCACTAACCACCAATGTAAGGGGCAATCTTCCTACTGACCACCATTGTAAGGGTTGTTCTTTCCACTGACCACCAATCTAAAGGGCATTCTTCCCCACTGAACGCCAATGTAAAGGGCATTCTTCTCCACTGACCCCCAATGTAAGGAACAATTTGTAACTCGATATATCAATAACAAGACGCCAGGCGCAATTTCTTTACAAATTACAAAAGTATGGAGCTGACACCTTAAAAAGGCGGAAGAAAAATATGATTTTGCATCTACAGAGCAGGAATGGTTTTAGTAATTGTACTGGGAGAGTAGAGTGTATACTGAGATTGGTGCAGCAAAGATAAAATGCTAGTGTTATGTTGAACAATACTAAATGCTGGTGTGTGCTGTAAATTTATCACTGGGGATATTAGCATAGTGTATATAAAGGCTTTTTTTTTTTTTTTTTTTAGTTGTTGATCAAGTATAAAAGGATTGGACCAGATATCTGTGGAACCCTAGGGCTCTGCTGGCCATGCACTGTTAGATCTCTTTCATTCAGCCCAGAGGCTAAACAATTCAGATGGACAAATCTCCTTGCTGGACCACCAGCAACTGTCAGAACACCCAAACCGCAATTTCATCTGATTGGATGTAGCCACTGCTTGACCGAAAATTTTCCAACAAAAAAATCAACAAAAGTTGACTGAATGATCTTCTTTTGTCGAACAGAGTAGGGCCAATCACTGAGTGAATTTTGGCTGGTTTATCAGGAGTGCTTACTCCCCTGACATTGGGTGCTGCTTCTCTTTCCAATAAAGACTCAATAAAGAAGACGCTGTGCCCTGGGACCCTGATAAAGCACTGACCTGTAAGATTCTACTCCATGTTGGGATGATCTGTTGACACAGAGTGCGTAGAAGGAAGCCTTCCCTTTTGGACATTCCTTGTATGTTCCTCTTGGGTGGGGGAGGTATTGGATGGAGAAACTCACAATTTGGACCCTACATTTTAGGTTTAGTAAGGCTGACTAGGTAGAATATACGTTGTTTATATATCCACTACTGTTAACCTGATGAAGAACAAATTCAAAATGCTTTGGGACTTTCACATGTCTACTATTACTATGGAGCCCTATGACTTAATACGAGAAACCCTCTTGTATGCATGTGATAAATGATGTAGCAGCAGTCTGATGTTTATGTGTAACCCCCTAATGACAACATCTCCATGTCAGCTGAAGGTTGGATGATTTTGGTTATGTTTTTATATGCTGTTTTAAAAAAAAGCTTTGTTGATTGTATACAGAATATCACAAATATTATGTATGGACATTGGTTATTTTCTAGGGGTGTTGTAGTAGTAGTCCCTCTCACTGCATAGCATGTTTTTGTTTCTTAGTTCCAATTGTGATGATGACACAATCCGTAAATGAATACTCCTTCATTCAAAGGAAATTTACTCAGTGTATGTCCAGCTTTCCTCCATAGGTTGCAAGAGGTTCTTTGAGCAATGAACAATTTCTACCTCTCATATAACTGCTAAAATCAATGGATAGTTTTAGCTATTTGTAGGTAGGGAATTCTTCCCACTAACCTCCAATGTAAGGGGCATTCTTCCCACTAATCACCAATGTAAGGGGCATTCTTCCGCACTGACCACCAATGTAAGGGGCATTCTACCCCACTGACCACCAATGTAAGGGGCATTCTTTCTACTGACCACCAATGTAGGGGGCATTCTTTGCTGCCATTGTAAGGGGAATTCTTCCCACTGACCACCAATGTAAGGGGCATTCTTCCCACTGACCACCAATGTAAGGGGCATTCTTCCCACTGACCACCAGTGTAAGGTCCATTCTTCTCACTGACCGCCAAAGTAAGGTACATTCTTCTCACTGACCGTCAATGTAAAGGGCGGTCTTCCCACTAACCACCAATGTAAAGGGCATTCTTCCCGACTGACCATCAATGTAAGGAGCATTCTTCTCACTGATCACCAATGTAAGGAGCATTCTTCTCAATGATCGCAAATGTAAAGGGAATTCTTCCCCACTGACCATCACTTTTATACACTGTGCTGTAGATCTAGTAATAGCAGGGGTTCCCTGGGACCGGAAAGTTATTACAAATGTTCCTCCATTGAGAAAGCCTGGGTTAGATAATTTGTTAAGGTTTTATCGCAGTATGTATCCCCTCTAAATCTATTTACTCTCATATTTGTCTTGGTAACCATTGCCACCAAGACACAATGTGAAGGGAGATCCAAACATTTTAAGCTATCACCAGAGCAAGAAGTGAGGGAAAATCCTCTAATAAGAATGGCTCATAGTACTCCAGGACTGAGGAGTGCTCACACATCATAATGTGGGTGCTGTCAGTCTTGAAGAATGCCCCCCTCCCCCCAACTACAACCACCAAAAGAAGAAGAGGAAGTTCTCAGACTGCCAAGAAGGCAGCAGGGAAAACCATTATGAATATAGGTTTAAAAAAATGTACATATTCTATTGGGGTACTTTCAAGGTTTGGGGGGCAGGGTTACATGCCTGGAGTTGCACTTTAAGGGAAATCTGTACTTATAGAAATATGGAAATCCTTCCTGCTGACCTCTCTTTCCATAAATTCCAGTGGCCTGACTGTCACATTGTATCATGGCAGAGGTTTAAACCTTTTTTCTCTATCCAAATCCAAATAAATTTTTGACTGGAGTTTGGCTTTAACATACTTTTAAAAAATGTATAAAAATGCCACTCGTTATATTAGGTTTTTAAACCTGACAGGTTTGCTGATCAGATGTCAGTTGCAAAATATATGCCTTAAGGGAGGTGAGAAATTCTGTAAGTAATCCTTCTGTTCTGTTTCTTTGCAGGATCTAGATTTCTCATTACATCATCGGGAGCCTTGTATATTACAGATGTACAGAATGAAGATGGATTAAATAATTATCGATGTACAACACGGCACAAATATACAGGAGACACACGGCAGAGTAACAGCGCCAGACTGACTGTATCAGGTACAGGAATTCTTTACTATTGTCTATGGCAACCTAAACCCAAACGACCCCAACAAGTGTTCTACCCACAGCCTTCTATAGTCACACCACCTAATACGTTTCTGAATGTTAGTATTGCTGACTATATTGGATCTATTTATAAAAAAAAGCTTGCTTTGTGATAGTCTCATCATTCAAACTTTATGAAAAAATAACCATGGGGGGTTATTTACTAAAACTGCATGATGCAAAATCTGGAGCAGCTCTACATAGAAACCAATCAGCTTCCAGGGTTTATTGTCAAAGCTTAATTGAAGTTAGATGCTGATTGGCTACCATAAACACATCTTCACCAGATTCTGAGTGCACCAGTTTTAGAAAATCTCCCCCATAATATATTTTATATCCGTGAACTGTCAATTTCTATTTACTGCCTTCCACTGAGCAAATGTTCCTAACAATTATCCAAAAATCGAATGTTGAAAGGAAATGAAATTTTGAAGTACTTTCCAACAACATTCATCAAGTCTCCAATGTCATTGCTGAAAGTACTGATGAGATTTTTTGTATGAATATTCATGCGAAGACCAGCCAGATTTAACGACAGGGTCACTTTAATGATAAATAGAAGGAACATATACAGGTCTATTTACAAAAAAAAAATTGTTTTGCAAATATATGCTCATTCGCACAAGCATAACAATTAATACTCTTAATTGTCTGTAATATGTGTGTAATGTCAGTTTCTTTGTTGCCATTCTCCAGGCAAATGTAACATTCCCTAAAATCTGATCCTAAGAGAAAAATAGCCATAAGAACATTTGCCATAAGGCCCCTTTCACACAGAACGGATTCTGTTCTGATCAGCAGGGCATCAGCTCACAGATTTCCTGCTGATTGGAGCAGTGCTGGCGGATGACAGATCTGTGCCCATGCAGTTTCTGCAGAGTTGGGCAGTCGGGAGTAAACGGACTCCGCTTTCCATTTACACCCGACTACCCTCTGATCCGATCTGCTTAATCAAAAAGGAATGGGTCTCCTTCCATTTTTTTTTAGTGGACCAGATTGGACCCTGAAGTAGGCAGGTGTTTTATCATGTTACGTGATAGTTTACGTTTTTGGGGGTTTTATTTCAAGATGTGCAAAGAGAGATCACACAAACACTTATACTGTATGTATAACATTTCATTAAGTATTGACAAATACATATATCAAATATATTAATATTAGAAAATGGAACAAGAATACTTAAATATAGATGCCTTTTCACCAAGGAGTCCCGCCTGCTTCTATTGCAGCTTGGCACAGATGATCAAAACCAGGCACGTGCCTTTAAGCAGCTCTGAGACAAGACTGACTATTCCAAGTTTTGGCTGTAGTATATACAGGACTAGTGTGTAAATAACAACCAAAATATAACTCAGTATACATTCATGAAAGGCTTAGTAATGATATTCCTTTAGTATTAGGTCAGTTAACCCCCCTGGCGGTACTCCTGAGTGTAACTCGGGGTAAAGTTTCAGTACCAAAAGCGGTAACCCCGAGCTACACTCGGGAATACCTTGCAGCGCTGCTCCGGGATCTGTTCTTCTCTTACCTTGTCTTTCGCTCCTGCGGTGTTCCTCCTGCAGTGTCCCCTGTAATGTCCTCCGGCCGATGCCGGCATCTGTCTTCTGGGTTCCGTTCCCTGCAACGTCGGGACGTACAGGGACAGAACGGCAGGAAATTTGAAAATGACAAAAAGTGACATTCACTAAATACACTAAAATCACATAGTAAAACATTACTGTATCAAACCATTTCACATACATTTTGTCCCGAGTGCTTTGTCCGGCGCCCTGCCTGCATTTTTACTGTTCTTTCTGCCTGGAAACTGAGAAACGTCCATGGCGACCAAAAAGCGTCCCTTTAGGTCAAAAGCAGTTTTAGACCGGCTATAGAACAGAGATAGTAAATTAGAACCACTTGCAGAATTGAGTGATAATGATTCGTGGGGAAATTCGTCATCAGACACTGAAAACGATTTTGTGACTTTGCTCAGGGATGTGCAAACTTGGCGCTATATTTAAAAAATTTTTTGGTTTGATTATATTATTGAATTAAATTTATTATTATTATATTATTTTTTATAAATTAAATTATAATTTATGATTTCGTGTTTCAAATTTTAACATACCTGAGATGTTTACTAGACTCTTGTTTGGACAGATTTCAGTGAGTTATTCCTAAAATTGACAGGCCTACAATCAAAAAATACATATTTCCGTGCAAAAAAATGTACCGCTTTGAGCACAGAAATATGGACATAATCAGACCGCTAGGGAGGTTAAGGTAAAGCCATACATGTCCTTGTGTGGCCCCTTAACCAGGTTTGGAGGCATTCTTATACATTAGTGAGCCACAGTCAAGGAAATATGAATTTCTCCATCAGTAGGTGTAAACGGGCACATGTCAGTTTACACCCACCTGTCACCCTGTACAGGTGAATGGACCTTTCGATCAGGTCTACCTGAAAAATTGACAGGCGGACCTGATGGGATTGCCCGTGTGAAAGAGTTGAAGAATATTCACCAGTAAAGAAAATAGCCTAACACCATAGGCTAAGAACATTCAACCAGAAGGGGATATAATGTGAGGGAGACCTTAGCACTGTGTACATAGTCTATGGAGATTCCTGTGCTAATTACCAAATTAATGGGTGTTCGGCCGAGAGCACCCCCAACTGCAGCTGAAATTAAACTTTTAGCAGCTGTATTACTAACGCTACTGAGTCTTCATGCACACTTGACGATTTTACAGCAGCTGTTTTTGGCTTTTGGCATTTTTTTCTACAGCCAGTAAGCCCCCCAGTATGTTTTCCAATGTGTCCATGCACACATAGACTGTAATCAATGTTTTTTGGCTGGGACGTTTTTTGGCTGGAAAAAACCCCAGGACTAGTGGGTTTCTAGAGGAGTTTTTTCACTGTAAAACTGCTCCAAAGCTGAAAAACACAGCAAAACGTGGTAAAATGCCGCAAAAAATATATTTTTTGGCTAACAAAAAGCTAAAAAATGCAAATGTGAAAAAATGTAGGAAAACGTTGCTAATCGCGGCAAAACGCAGCTAAACGCTAATGCAAAAACGCTAAAAAGAGCTGAAAAACTCACGTTTTTAACGTGACTTTACACAGCTAACATTACCAGCATTCTCAAAATGTCCCGTGTGCATGAGGGGTTAATGTGACCGCTTCCTGCTCAGGGCTCCAGGTAAGATTATTTTCTCTACTGGCGAATGTTTAACTCTTGTGATTGAATGTTCTTATGGCTGTTTTTTCTTAGGATCGAATCTTATGGAATGGCACATTTGCCCAGTGAAAGCCAACAAAGAAACTGACATTTCAAGCATATTACCAAATGTTAAGGGTATTATTTGTTACGTTTGTGCAAATGTATTATTTATTACAGGTACTTGTATAGCACCATCATTTTACGCAGCGCTTTACATATATATTGTACATTCACATCAGTCCCTAAACCTCAAGGGGCGTACAATCTAAGGTCCCCAACTCACATTCATACTAGGGCCAATTTAGACAGGATCCAATTCACCTACCAGCATGTCTTTGGAGTGTAAGAGGAAACCGGAGTACCCGGAGGAAACCCACACAGGCACAGGGAGAACATGCAAACTCCAGGCAGGTGGTGCCGTGGTTGGGATTCAAACCAACAACAACCTAATGCAGGCCAGGCGGGAGTGCTAACCATTTAGCCACTGTGCTGCCCAAATGATGAGAAATTCACAAAGCAAATTTTTTTCCTAAAAGTAGACCCCTATGTATGTGTTCTGTTTGTTCATCATCAAAGAGCAATCTTTTTCAACTAGAGCTCCATGGAACCCTAGGGTTCCTCCAGGGGTTGTTAGGGGGTTTCTTGAGCAGTGAGAATATACTAGCTTTCAGATAAGAAACCACTGACACCAATGATCTTTTTAGGCTATCTGTAAAGGGGGGGGGGGGGGGGGTAATTCTCAATTCTTCTCATAACCAAGTAAGGACCATTGTCCTTAGTGACCATCACACTAATGTACTGTGAGCTGTAGAAATAGTAATTATTAGCAGGGGTTACTTGAGACAGGAAAGATATTTTAAATGTTCCTCCATGTTAAAAGGTTGAGAAAGGCTGCCGTAGATTATAAGCTCCTTGGGGGCATGGACTGAAATGAATGTGCTGTATGTAAAAAGCTGCATAAATTGTAAGCACTATATATTAGTGCCTTTAATAATAGGTCACCCAGGGACAACAGTACTTCTAAAGTGCACAGCATGAAATCTGGTTTGCTGAACTTGATTTGAATTGCAGTAAAACTACACAAGAAGATTTAGTAGGAGTTGAATAGACAAAGCGCGAGGCTACATGGAAAAAGCTGAACATACAGGAAACAATGTCTTAGAATAGGGGTTATAAATCCGAAAGATTGCATTTAGGGTCTGGTGTGCCAACATAAAGTCGTTTTATTTATTTATTTAGAAAGGTGGTGTTATCCTTCAATTAGGATTTCTCCATTTTAATGACACTTGGGGTTTTATCGTTCGTCATGTGCATAGGAGGCCGCTGAGAAGATAACCACATTTGAATTATTAATATTATTTATCGCAGATGGGGATTAATTTCCATCAGTGACAGATCTGGGATGGCTTTAGAGGTAATCATGCAGGTGGTTAACCAGAATCTCTGGAGCCACAATCACCTTAGATAACCCATCTTTGAGCTCAACATCCTTCTATACTACAATGAATAGTGTCCCAGCATTCCAGGGGTGAGCAAAGCATGACTCATAGAACATACAATCATATGGAGGTTCTATGGATGCTGACTGTCACTTTGCGGGAAAGGTTCCACTTGATGGTCTCATTTTTTTTTTTTTTTTTCAATTATGATGACAATGTAGCTGATAATGATGCTGAACCAGACAGCAAATGTATTCTTACCATAGGTTCCCTTTATTTATGTAGTGCAGACATTTTATCCCATTCTTTAGTATTATTATTATTATAATACAGGATTTATATAGCGCCAACGGTTTGCTCAGCGCTTTACAATATGGGAGACAATACAGCAACAATACAGTTCAATACAACAGGGATTTGAGGTCCCTGCTCCTTGGAGCTTTGGGCTATATTTAACAGAAGACTTTCAAAAAATGATATAATAACTGAAAACTGCCTTTTTTTGTAAAGGCATGACCGCAAATTACTCCCAAAGCTCCCTCTTCCTCTCTCCCACCATTATATTTCCCATCTTTTATTACTCCCTATAACATCACAAGGCTGTAAAAAATGTTTGCTGGGGCTAAAGAGGAATTCCAGGCATGGATATTTTATACGTATTTACAGTATCTCCCAGAAGTGAGTCCACCCCTCACATTTTTGTAAATATTTTATTATATCTTTTTATGTGACAACACTGAAGAAATTACACTTTGCTACAATGTAAAGTAATGAGTGTACAGCTTGTATAACAGTGTAAATTTGCTGTCCCCTCAAAATAACTCAACACTCGGCCATTAATGTCTAAACCGCTGGTGAGTACACCCTTAAATGAAAATGTCCAAATTGGGCCCAATTAGCCATTTTCCCTCCGCTGTGTAATGTGACTCTTTAGTGTTGCAAGGTCTCAGGTGTGAATGGGGAGCAGGTGTGTTAAATTTGGTGTTATCGCTCTCACTCTCTCATACTGGTCACTGGAAGTTCAACATGGCCCCTCATGGCAAAGAACTCTCTGAGGATCTGAAAAAAATAATTGTTGCTCTACATAAAGATGGCCTAGGCTATAAGAAGACTGCCAAGACCCTGAAACTGAGCTGCAACACGGTGGCCAAAACCATACAGCGGTTTAATAGGACAGGTTCCACTCAGAACAGGCCTCGCCATGACTGACCAAAGAAGTTGAGTGCACGTGCTCAGCGTCATATTCAGAGGTTGTCTTTGGGAAATAGACGTATGAGTGCTGCCAGCATTGCTGCAGAGGTTGAAGGGGTGGGGGGTCAGCCTGTCAGTGTTCAGACCATACGCCGCACACTGCATCAAATTGGTCTGCATGGGTGTCGTCCGAGAAGGAAGGCTCTTCACAAGGTGATGCACAAGAGAGCCCGCAAAAAGTTTGCTGAAGACAGGCAGACTAAGGACATGGATTACTGGAACCATGTCCTGTGGTCTGATGGGACCAAGATAAAATTATTTGGTTCAGATGGTGTCAAGCTTGTGGGGTGGCAACCAGGTGAGGAGTACAAAGACACGTGTGTCTTGCCTACAGTCAAGCATGGTGGTGGGAGTGTCATGGTCTGTGGCTGCATGAGTGCTTTAGGCACTGGGGAGCTACAGTTCATTGAGGGAACCATGAATGCCAACATGTACTGTGACATACTGAAGCAGAGCATGATCCCCTCCCTTTAGAGACTGGGCCGCAGGGCAGTATTCCAACATGATAACAACCACCAAACACACCTCCAAGATGACCACTGCCTTGCTAAAGAAGCCGAAGGTAAAGGTGATGGACTGGCCAAGCATCTCTCCCGACCTAAACCCTATTGAGCATCAGTGGGGTATCCTCAAACGGAAGGTGGAGGAATGCAAGGTCTCTAATATCCACCAGCTCCGTGATGCCGTCATGGAGGAGTGGAAGCAGACTCCAGTGGCAACCTGTGAAGCTCTGGTGAACTTCATGCCCAAGAGGGTTAAGGAAATGCTTTAAAATAATGGTGGTCACACAAAATATTGACACTTTGGGCCCAATTTGGACATTTTCACTTAGGGATGTACTCACTTTTGTTGCCAGCGGTTTAGACATTAATGGCTGTGTGTTGAGTTATTTTGAGGGGACAGCAAATTTACACTGTTTTGTACACTACTACTTTACATTGTAGCAAAGTGTCATTTCATCAGTGTTGTCACATTAAAAGATATAATAAAATATTTACAAAAATGTGAGGGGTGTACTCACTTCTGTGAGATACTGTACATTGGTCTGGCTTGGAAAGTACTTTGTCTGTAATCAATGAGATAGGGCTAAACTGGGGGTACTGACTTAATCTCCCCATACTTTTCAAATGTGGTCGGGAATCCCCTCCCTATGTATGTCAGTTTAAAAATATGATTAACTGTGTCGATCCATGAGGCATGGCATCTCTGCACAATAAGTTTGCTGCCAAAAAAAAAGTCTTGGGGCCCTTTCACATAGGCTGGTTAAAACACAGACAGGCGGACCCGATCAAACCATCCATTGCCCTCTATGGAGTGGCAGCTGCAAATGGACATGTGTCCATTTACACCCGCCTGCATCCGATCTAATCCACTAAAAACAAATGGATGGGGATCCATTCCCCATCTGTCTAGTGGATTGGATGACAGTTGGATGTAAACAGACATTTGACCACCCATGGAGGACAGCAGGCTCTACTAATGCAGAGTGGACATGGACCTGTCACCCGCCTGCTCAGTGAAGATCAGTGGACAGATCCCCAGCTGAGCAGACTGATCTGCCTGTGTGAAAGTGGCCTTATGTATAGGTATCTGAAAAGACAAGGTTTTTTTGCATGTAGAAAACCAAATGAAGAGTTCTCCTTCTGCTGAGAATGACCAGGTCTCCCTTGCTAGAGTACAGAGGTGGCCAGACCAAGACATAGTTCCAAGCACACTGACAAATATAAGTATCATGGTCAGGGGTCAGGCTCGAACCAGTGTTCACCAGAGGTGGAGATGGGTTTCGCTGTGTGTTAGTACCTGGTCATGGTCCTCAGAATCGCCCCACCAGGAGGTGAGCAAGCTGGGGGATAAAGTAGAAGTGTAGGAAATAAGCCTAAGGTCGTAACAATTATTTGCAGGTTCAAGCGGAAGCTTAGTTGAGGAACAAGCCAAAGGCCTGTAACAAGTGGTAGTGGAGATAAGGACAGCCGCAGGTACACAAGAGAGGAACAAGATATAGGCTAGAGAGAGCACAATAATCTGGCAACAGTTTAAAAACATGGCATAAATAGGAAGTTCATGGGAGGAGCAATGAGTTCAAGGTTCACCAGAAACAAGGTGCAAGACAAGATTATACAAGGGTTCAGACAGGATGTTTTTCCACATCTGTGTCTCAACAAATAGAGCTACTGCTGGACACAGCAGAGGTCGTGGGTTCAGAAGCTGGTACTGAGAGTAGACTCAGTCTAAGGGATTACTTTTTGAAGATTTATTGCAGAAAACTTGGATAGTCGAGGGATAAGGGTGCAATACACTCCAAAATGTTAGAAGAAATTAACATGAGGAAAAAACAACAGAAACCTCTTGTGACAGCCTTTTTTGGGGGTAGGAGAGAATGGTTAGCTAATCTAGGACTCTATGTGAGTCATCGCAGTCCATACAGCAACCTCTGCTACTTACATCCCCAAACATGTGCACACCTGGAATCCCAGATCAAAGTCTTACTCACAATGTCCTAGGACAGCTGTCGCCTAAGTAACACTCTTTAGTGAGGTAGAAAAGGAACCTTTTCCAGACTGACCTCCACAGGTGATGTTCTCCAGCCAAGTATTTTTCAATATAGATCCCTTTATGCTCCCAGCCCAGCACATGCTGAGGCCCAACAGCACCTCTTCTCAGAACACACATAGGCTACCTCCCAGGGCAGCTGCCCCAGGAGAAAGATCAAGTCTCCCAAACATGAATCTTTTCCCTCAGCTAACTTTTGGGTGCCCCATCCAGGGTTTGGCTGAGAATAGATACATATTCATAACTTCAGTGGCTGACCCTCCTACGCTATTCCCTAGAAGCTTCTTCCAGAGACAGGCAGGAGCAATCATCCACTAAGTTTAGGGAAACCTGACCAAACCTAGGAAAATGATTACTACTCCACTGGGTACAGCAGAGGTAAAAAAAAAAAACCCAACATGCAGCATAACTAGGGCAGGGTACTACAAAAACAAACAGGTAGAGGTGCACAAAATTGCCCCTTTTACTATAATTCAGTACAATCAAAGGGGAAGAAAGGAAAAAAAAAATGTTCATGAAAGCAATTTGGTAGGTACTCTAGAGAAAAGTATAAGCCAAAAGAACCAGAAGAAATATTTTGTTAAGAACATATTTATCATAGGCAATAGTAAGTAAGACTCCAAATGTCAGTAAGTAGGGTGTACCAGTAAAGTAACACTGTTCTTTGAGGGTGCTGACTACTATTCAGATGACCGTAGAGTTGTCATACTCAGTTGTCCAAACATTAATGGGATCATACCACAGAGAAAGGTTAATATTAATTAGTGGAACACTCATTATACCGGTTACAGGTACCATACATGTACATTTGGGAAGAAATTTGGCAAGAGTATCCTATTAAATTGTTTCGGCACTTTGTTGAGAGTCGATCCATATCAAACAAAGTTTTTAAAACTTCAGTAGGCATCCCCCTACTCTGATAAGTCGCTTTGTATAATGGCCAATGAGTGTTGACTAATATTTTCCATGAGGAGGCTCATTTTGTTTGCCATTTTAGCACTAGGACTTGCAAGAATAACAGAGAAATAGGCCCAATAAAGTTCTAGCCATATTAGGCAAAGTTAAAGGATCGACTAGGTCCAGGAAACCATATTGGGCTGGGACATTATGAGAGATGGTGCTAGTAATAAATAGCAATTTTTTAATTTTGACCTTTAGATATGATTAGTAATGTGAACTAAGGTGTAGAAATTTTGCTTTCAGAATCCCTTAGATAGATGACAACCCTAAGCCTCTGAAAATCATATGAAGCCAGTGGGTGATTTTGGAAGGCAGAGGTTGATCCATTTGGAATTTAGAGAGATGGCCTTCTTTTCTAGATTAGTAATCTGATGTCTAACTCTTTTGCATCTACTGGTTATATACTGTGTGTGGTCTGGATACAACTGATAACATGGTGGAATTTCTTGTATAAAAGCACCAACAGATCACGCTGGTGTCAGACCAATAAAGACCTAATGCCTTTTGCATGTGGGCCCTTATTTCTAGGGCATCTGTAGCCTTCAACGTAGATGTTCATTGTAACATTTTGTACCTTGCCGTTTCATTTCCAGATCCAGTCAATTCAGCTCCAATAATTATTGATAAGTTTGAACACCCGACAGTAATGGCAGGACAGAGAGTGGAGCTGCCATGTAAAGCCTCTGGATACCCAATACCCAACACCCGATGGCTGAAGGACAATGTCCAGGTTGAAACGGGTGGCAGGTTCCATAAAACCGTTGTAGGTTTGCTGATTGAAAACACCCGATCGTCAGACACTGGAATGTATATCTGTGAAGTATGGAACAGCTATGGCACCGCAGAGGTTATTGGATCACTGTATGTAAAACGTAAGTAAAAAAAAAAAAACTTTTATCTTATATGGACAACCCTCCTAGATTGCCTGATGGGTTATATTTTTAGATGAGAGAATATGGGTGTAGCTGTAGGTCAATGAGGTTGTAGCTGTAATAACATCTTAATTAATTTGAACTTTTTTCTAGGCAAAATTCCGAAAATACTTAGCAATAACATTAACAGATACACTTCTAAAAGATTATATGCCTGTTTTTTTGCTGCTAAATTCACTCATGTGGCTTCAATCCTGGGCAACGGTCAAATGGTTTGTGGCTGCCAGGATGCCTTGTAGATGTTTCACATCTTTAGAGAGTGCAGGGAGTCAGTTTTACTAATCAGACTCTGGACTGCAGTCAGAGAAAGAAGCAGTAGGCACAACCACTGTGCACTACTACTAAGCAGCAAGCAAAGACTGCAAAAGACAGTAGGGTGGATTTACTAAAACTGGTTAAAAAAAAAAAAAAAAAAAAAAAAAAACGACAGCTGTGCATGGTAGCCAATCAGCTTCTAACCTCAGCTTGTTCAATTAAGCCTTGACAATAAAACATGGAAGCTGATTGGCTTCTTTGCAGAATTGCACCAGATTTTGCACTCTCCAGTTTTAGTAAATAATCCACTATGTTTATAAAAGCCGTAGCATATACATCCAAATGACTGATTTGTATTACACAGCAGGAGAAGCTGTCAAAATGCAGCTGCTCCTGGGTAAAATGACATTTGCAGATAATCTGCAAGTATCATTCACTAAACACAATGCAATCGGTGTATTGTTTCATTGTATTTACTATTTTATTCATATGTAGTTCAATGGTGTGACCAACCATTCATCCTCACCCTTATCAGATATGTTTTTTATTTTTGTTCTTTTTACTATTTTTATTATTATTATACATTGAATATTTAATAATAATAAAATTAACATTTCATTTTATAAATTTTTTATTCCTACATTACTTTGTCCTTGATTTTGTTTTGTTTGATTTTGTTATATTTTTTTATTGTTTTGATAAAAGAAAAACTGCAAAAAAAATGTGTTTTTCATTTGCAACTAACTTTGGCATATATATTCAAATACACAGCACAAAAATTCCCAGAAAAGTAATCCTCCTCCACCCTTGAAGGTTAATCAAAAAAAAATATATATATAAACTTTTCTCTTTTACAGACCCAAAAAAATGTCCAAAATAGCAAAAAACTCCCCACTAGTGTAACCAAATGTTCAGCAAAGTCTCTTTTTTTCTTCTTTCAACGACAAATCTCTTTCTTAACACCCGCAAATTCTGATGACAATATACCTCAAAAGAAAAAAACTCAACATAGTGTCATACCTTTTTAATAATAAATACACACGTGCCCCTTACTGTGCAACATGCAATACTGTGAAAAAACTTTGGCATGTTTTGTACCAGAATCTTTGTTTTCATGTTTATTTAAATGGGACAAATAAAATGGATACTTTTTATTCACAGTAAAACTACGAAATGAACACTGGTCGAAATAGAATTAAAAATAATTTTTTTCTGTCTTTTTGTCTATAGATTAGATAGAAAATAAAATAATGTTTTTAAGACAAAATTGCCAAAATAAAGTAAAAAAAAAAATTTGTCTTGTTTGTTATATTAAATAAACTGTCTCATAGTGGAAATCTAAAAATAAGTCTGGTCCATATACAGGTACTAGAGCTGAACTGGTTAAATAGGAAAGAGGATAAGTTGTCCTTTAAGTATTTTATTAAAAGTTATTAGGATGAAGTGAAGCGCATGGCCACTGTGACTGACATGCTAAGTGGAACTAAACTGGAAAACAAAGAGAGCAGCAGGGTAGTGCCATCTGCTGAGGAGTGATAATCATATACAGATGTGTATTCAATTATCTCCATAGAATGATATTACCCGCGGCAACAAAACCAACTGGATCCACAAAGGCTCCCACAATACCGGGATAGAAATACTTTTATGGCTTATAGCTATAAAGACAGATTATTCTCAGATACCCTGTTCATTGTTTTGTCACCCAGGAACATAATACTAGCTGCACACATACAGTTCTGTCTTCACCCCTATATCTCTTTTTTCTTACTTTCTATGTTAGTATTATGTTTTAGTTCAATTTAATATCATTGTTTGTTTTGTACCTATATGTCACCATTTTTTGTGAGTCCAGGGGTCTCCAAACTTTTTTTTTTTAAACAAAGGGCCAGTTTACTGTCCTTCAGGATTTAGGGGGGCCGGACTTTGGCCAGTGTGAGTAGAAAATGTCTCGACATCAGTGGGAGTAAACACTTGTTTCAACAAGAGGACTAGTGCCCCATTACTGGTTTTAGCAGGAGGAATAGTGCCCTATGGTTGGTATCACGGAGAGGAATAGTGCCTCATTGACAGTGTCAGTTGGAGGAATAGTGCCCCACTATTGGTCTTAGCAGGAGGAATAGTGCCCCATTGATGGTGTCAATGGGGGTAATGGTGCCCCATTAACCACTACCTGTCCGGACACTTTTACCCCCTTCCTGTCCAGGGCAATTTTCAGACTTCAACGCTATCACACTTTGAATGACAATTGCGCAGTCATGCAATACTGTACCCATATGAATTTTTTACAATTTTTTTGAGACAGATAAAGCTTTATTTTGGTGGTATTTATTCACCGCTAGGATTTTTATTTTTTTTGCTATGTAAATGAAAAAGTCCAAAAAATTTTTTAAAAAGTGTTTTTCTTAGAAAATTTTGCAAATAAATAATCTTTCATCATAAATCTTGACCAAAATTTATTCCGTTATATTTTTAGTAAAAAAAAAAAAGCCAAATTAGTTTTATAACCAAAAATTATAATTTTTAAACTTTTTTTTACATTTTTATTTTATTTTTTTATATTATTATTTATGTTTTTTTTTTTTTTTTTTTTACATACTGTCACCCTAGTGGTACAGTGTCACCATGGTGACACTGTACTACTTGTGGGGGGTGATGAAGATTTTTTTTTTTTTTTTTTTTTTTCAGTGATTGCTTTTACACCCATGTAGGATGTAAAAGCAATCATTTCTCTTTCTCTCTGTCTGCATTCTTGCAGCCATTGAGAAATACTGAGTGAGCTGTGATTGGTCACAGCTTGTCACATGGTACAAGGCTGTTGTGAATAGCCTTGTACCATGTGACCTCTGTGATCATTCACAGATTTCACACATAGTAAGCAATGATGTCACAAGTGACATCTTGCTTACTACTTTGCATGTGATCACTGATTGGCCTATCAGTTATCACATGATCGGGACCTCGTACAGAGGTCCCGTCCGACGATCGGTGTTTCACTGTGTCCGGAGGACACAGCGGGCACCGGATCATGGTGCTGCGCGCTCCCAAGGAGCGCGCACAGCTAGGAAAGGCAGGTTGCCGTTTATGAACGGCAACCCGACCCTGGACTGCCACCGCCCTGCCGTTTATAAACAGCAGGCGGACGGCAAGTGGTTAATGGTATCAGTAGAAGGAATGGTGCCTCATCATTGGTATCAGTGGGAGGAATAGTGCCCCATTAATGGTGTCAGTGGGAGGAATGGTGCCTCATCATTGGTGTCAGTTGGAGGATTAGTGTCCCAAGGGCTGGATAGAGTCAAGCAAAGGGCCGCATCTGGCCCCTGGGCCATAGTTTGGAGACCACTGGTCTATACTATATATATATTTGAAGAGCAACTCCACTTTTGTTGAGAAAAAAAAATTCTCCTCTGGGTTGATCAACGTACATTGCAGGGATTTTAACAGACTTTGATGCAGATTCCTACCTTTAGTTATTCTAAAGAAATATCTGTTTGTTTGTGTTCATGTGGAAAGTAAATCTAATGAGAGGGATTTTTTAATGTTCAATCAAGTGCTGACCTTGCAGAGTTCTACTGAGGAAAGTGGCAGGGTCTGCATCCCTTTAGACGTGATGTCCTTTTGGGAGTATCTCACCAAAGATGACACTTTTTTTTTTTTTTTTTTTGCAGAGGATGCCCAAAATGTGACTTGTATCTTAGTACAGGCTTCTGGGAAAATTAGTAAGCCAATCGCATAAGCAGGAAATTACATATCTGGGTGGCATTCTGTATACCAACTGTGTACAGAACGCCTCCAGGTTGCATTTTGAATTTTACAGAAAATTATTGCACTGCAGATTGAAAGCAAAAGGTAATTTTTAACCACTTTCAACTGGATGGACGATATATGACATCACCAGGTGGTTATACCAAATGGTTATACCAGGACGATGCCTGCAGCTAAAGGTATCATCCCAGTATTAAACGTTTCAGCCAGCAATGGGCTTTTCTTTTGAGGTGATATACAGCCACTCAATCATTTATACAGGCAGCAGAAGGGGGTGCTCCCGCCACCTCCTTTCCTGGGTTCTCCCATCTGATTGGGGAGCCCAGGACTGCTCTGACTGGTGGCTTCCTGTGCACTGCACAGAGGGAGAGGTATTGATGCTGTTGCTCCCTCTCTGTGATACCAGAATCCGGAAGCAGCGATGATTTAGTTCCAGTTTCGGTTCTGTGTTTACTAGATGGCTACCAGCCAGAGAAGCAGCTGATCAGACCGATCTGTGTCTAATTGGCTGCATTGAAGGCTAGAGGAGCGATCTGGGGTCTAATAGACTCCAGGTCTCTCCATAAAGAGGACCTGTCACGGCCCATGCTGTCAAAAGGGAATGTTGTTCAACCCTTATAGCAATAAAGTTGAAAGAGGAACACAAATTAGAGGGACAGTGTTAAAAAAAAGTTTTTAACAAAAATAAATTTTAAAAATGTAAAGTGCCCCCCCCCCCCCCATGATCACACACAAAGTACCGCACGCCTATGGTAAACGGTGATCGCACCACACATGTGAGGTATTATTGCATATGTCAGAGCAGGGGAAATATTGCTAGAGCCAGACCTCATGTGTAATTGTAGAGATTTTTAGGTACCGTAGTTTGATGCCATTCCACCGGCAATCACGATTTTGAAGCGTGACATGTTGGGCATCTA